ATAAAACTATAAAGTCGCTCATCGCACGCGGCCCCGGCGTTTCCGCCGCGACGCGACCGGCGGCCGCGCCGCGCACGGAATCGAAAGGATAAACAAAAACGACGCGGGTAGCACGGGTAGTACCGTAACTCACGGATTCATTCGCTCGCTCCTCTACCTACCTGCGCGCTCGCCGCGATTCACGCCCTTCTTTTCCTGCGTGTCGTCCCTCCACTCCGACTCTCCCTGTCCCACCGCCCTCATCGCTCTCGCTCGCACGCTAACGGTGAATCGCAACCTGGTATCGCCGGGGGATACGAACGGGACGGTACAAGCGGCGCCATCTGTCGGCGGTGATCAATTTCATTCGAGACGCCGAAACACGGCGTCAGGTAGCGCGCGCCATCCGGCGGTGGCGAGCGGTAGAATCGTTTACGCGCTGCGCCGATGGATGGCGGCCGGAGCTTTTTCGATTGCGCGGGTTATACAAAATTGGGATTTTCTCGTACTATCAGTTGATCGGTGCTGAACTACACGAAAAGAAAAAGTAGCTGCCGTAGTTAAAAACTGCACGTGGCAACTAAGTTTCAGTTATAAAATCTGATGGGCAGCTAATATTTAGCTGTGATAGCTAAATATCTTTCTACTGTGCCTATTGCATTAGGTGCGACAGCAGACCGTTTGCTGTGGTTTAGGTCCAGTTTCACCAACGTTGTTCAACTTTAAGCTTGGCTTAATTCGTCCTTTGTCTCTTTCTAAAGTAACGATTGAAAAGGAGACAAAGATTGAATTAAACTAAGCTCAAAGTTAAGCGACGTTGGTGAAACCAGGTCTTGGAGATTTAGTTATGGCAGCAAAATATTTTTAACAAACCATGATTAGCTACGGTAGCGAGATTTTTTTCAGTGTACGGATTGCGATTTAGATTAGATTGAAATTTGACCAGAGTAAAGTTTACTAATCTCAAGTTTAGCGTCTTTTACTTTAATTTCAATCTCAATCCGTAATTCGACACGAGCTTTACTTATTACTTTCGCAGCGAAATTTTTTCCTGCATCCTACCGCTATTCAGAACCGGGACTAGACATTTCATCGCCTTACTGGCACTTCTTTAGTCTATTATAACTTTACAACGTTTCGGCCAGTAATGCCGGTCCTCTTCAGGTAACGAACTTGAAAGAGTACCCGTAAATGTCTGGAGAACAGAAAGAGCTATGTATGAACTATAATACATGGTCTTGCGAAGCAAGAAGTCGAAATAACAATTGAGTTGTTTTTATAATAAAAAAATTAATAAATTAAAACATAGAAATAAAGACTTACAAGGTTCGTCGAAAGTTAAGACGTGAAATTATGTCAAACGTTGAAGACGTCGCAGTACATTGTGTCTAGTCATCGGCGTTAGAACACAGAATAGACGATGGGTGACAAAATTTAATGGGTGACAAAAGTTAAGATTTTCTGTATCTCGTTGTACGTTGGTAGCGTTGTCTTGATGTTTTTTGATGACGAACATTTCGGCCACAAAAAAGTGCGTCCTTTGGTAACAAAACTATTTCTTTTACGTGGTACTGATATTAATTTTATAAGAACACTTTTGGCGCCCCTACAAAACTTTTATATGAAGTGCCTCGTTCGCCACACTCTAGTCCCGGCTCTGCCACTACCTTGGAATTTAAGTTAATTTTAAACAGCATCGTGTGAAGATACATAAGATACATCTGTAGATACATATGTAATCGTGTGATTTTTATTTAGCTAAAGCAGCAAGCAAAACGCGCGCGCAATAGTGCGATTGTACTTGACGTGAAACAGTCTTCGAACAATGTATATGTACATTTTGCGTCTATTCATATAAATGATGTGGAATTTTTTATAGACACAAGCTATTTACATACATGAAACGCGATGTGCAAACAGATATTTCTCACGATAGTAAAACATTACAGTTTATATACACACAAAAAAATAGAAAATCCATTTGCGTCACACTCTCATTTATCTAGAATAATGTAAAAACATGCGCGGCTTCTACAGTCACGGAGTCTTAAAGAATGTTCTCTCGTTAATTGTAACATGCTGCGCTTGGTTCTTTTTCACAACAGTAAGTTGAACCGTCTCAGGACTGGGATTGCTCGCTTTGCTTTTTCCACGCCTTCGCGGAGGCCAGGAACTTGAGATTCGGCCTCTGCGACTCGTCCTCCGGAAACACAAAGTCGAAGACTTCCTCCCAGCCGTCGTCGCTGCCGTCCTCGCCCACGACGCGCCTCTTCTTCTTCACCCTGCGCGGCATCTTGTCCGTGATCTTGGCGAGGGTCTCGGGGGTGCCTTTCTCGCTCTCGAAGTCCTTCCAGGCTTCCAGCAGTAGCACCCGGCTCTCGGTGTCGCTGTTAGCTCTGAGGGCGTCGTTTCCGCGCTCGAAGATGCGCCTCGCCAGGACGACGTTGTCAGGGCTGTCCTCCAGCTGCGGATTCAGCAGCTCGAACTTGGCGTAGGCTATCCAGACCTTGACGTGCAACGTGCGCTCGAGCAACCGCTCGAACAGCTGCCGGGCGTTCTCCGTCTCGCCCTGGGCGATCTCGAAGTCGATGTATGATTTCCACAGCAGCTCCGGCATGTCCAGCCTGGGCCGCGCGACGGCGAACTCGTATATCGATCGGGCGCGATCGATCTCGCCCAGTCGCGTCTCCAGCTCGGCGAATCGCATCCACGTGGTGCAGTTCTCCGGGCCGAACTCGAGGAACTTCTCGTACAGCTTACGGCACCGGTCGAACTCCACCAGCTGTATCTCGAGGTCGATGTAGCCCCGGTAGAGCTTGTCCGTCGGGCATATCCCCAGCGCCAGGCCCAGCGTCTTTCTCGCCTTGCCCAGGTCCCTCTGGCGTATCTCGAAGTACGCGTAGAGCAGCCAGATCTTGGAGAAGGTGAAACGCTTGTGCGGTATGAGCTCCAGGCAGACCTTGTACACCTGCCGGCACCGCTCGACGTCCTTGGCCTCCAGCTCCTCGAAGAGGGCGTACTTGATCCACAGGTAGAGGTACCGCCGCCAGAACTGCTTCTCCTTGGTGGGCGGCACGTTGGAGATCGCTCGCTCGTACGTCTCGCGGATCACGTCGACGTTGCCCTCCGACTCGACCAGCCTGAGATAGTCGAACCACGCGTCGTAGTTGGAGGGATTCTCCTTGATCTCCTGCTCGTACTGGTGCTTCCGCTTGCTGACTATCACGTCCTCGATCCCCGAGCGGTCGCCGTACTTCTTCTCGTGGATCGTGTACGCCTTGTAGATCTCCTGCGTGTTGCTCTTCGGTATGTGCTCCAGCGCGTACTTGTAGATTATGCGGGCCCGGTCGTGCTCCCGCTGGCCCTCCTCGAACCTGGCGAACGCCAGGAACAGCTTCTCGTCCAGGCCCTCGTCGCCGTAGAAATTGACCGCGTCCACGTACACCTTGCGCGCGCCGCTGATAAAGCCGTGCGACTCCTCGAACCGGGCGTACTTGATCCAGTGCTTGACGTCCGGGTGGACCATGACGAAGCGCTTGTAGATCTGCCGCGCCCGCTCGATCTCCTTGTAGCGCAGCTCGAACTTGATGTACGTCTGCCAGGCCTGCTCGTCCGGCTCCCACTCCATCCACCGCTCGAACACCTGGCGCACCCCGGCGATGTTCTCCAGGGTCTCCTCCATGTAGGTGTACTTGTACCAGAACTGATTGGCGCGCGGCAGCAGGGTGACCGCCCGGTCCCAGAGATTCCGCGCGTGGTTCACCTGCCGGTTGCGCATCTCCATCTCCGTGTACTTGAGCCAGAGCGCTATGTTACGATGGTCGACCTCGAGCGCCCGCTCGTAGATGGACCTCGCGCGCTGGATCTGCTTCTGGCTCTCCTCCCACTGCGCGTACTTCATCCAGTTGGTGATCATCATGCGGTTCTTGCGGATCGTGTCCTCGAACGCTTTGCGCTTGCGGTGCTGGTAGTCCGCGAGCTCGTGCGGGTCCGAGATCTTCTGCTTCGGCGGCGGCGGCAGGATCTCCAGGTCGCGCTCCTTCGCCTCGCGCAGCAGCTGCTCCGCGGTGATCTGTATCTCCGCGGGCGCCTTGTTCTTCACCTTCGCCACCTTCGGCATCTTCTGCGACTTCTCCATAGCCGGGCCGGGAGAGGTTAGGGCTGCCACTGGCTCGCGGGTCCTTCGCTCTTTCGCGGCTACGCTCTCCGATCACACCGCGCCGCACTCTAGTCTCTCGCTGCAACACGGAATACGTTGCCTCGAGCTCACGCTCGCCGCAGATTCCTCGAAACCGCGCAAACGGCAGGCACGCACGACGCCGAACGACGAAGGCCTTCCCTCCGAGTCGAGCGGGCCGGGACGACGGACGTTGCAGGAGGACGTTGGCACCATCGAGTGCTACACTAGCTGCACCGCCAGTTACACCGCGTACACCACGATGCTCACACGCGCTCAAACGCAACCGTGTCACGTGTGTCAGCAGCGTACACGGACACGGCTTGCGTTTCTTCTTCTTCTTCTTCCTATTCTTGGCATTCTTCTTATTCTCTGACTCAGAGCCGACACGGCCATGTCGAACCAATAGTCGTTTGTGTATTACTTACTTTCTAATAATTTCTCGAGCGAGTTCCAATTAGTTGACACAATGCAGAGTACGGAGTACGGCTTGTGTCTGCGAGCGCGAGCGCCGTGGTGTAAGCGGTGTAGCTAGTGTAGCACTCGACGGTGCTGGCCGCTCGGAGTTTGCGTCACGCCCTACGATTGGTTGTCACGTTAGTACTCCTCGTGTCTCGCGGCTAGGTTAGGTTAGAACAGGTTAGGTTGAACCTCGCGGCGACGGTCGCCGACGTAAACGGAGTGGCCGGGCGCAAATTTGCCATGAAAAAATGGCACGTTTGTTTAATAGACTCGCGAGCAGAGAGCTCGTTAGGATGCAGGTCGCCAGGTTCGGCAACAAAGCGGATCACTGGGTAAACGCACTGTACTTTGTCGACGTTTAATCAGTGCCGCGGGCACTGTTGCATCGCTTTTACGAATGAAGTTCATTCATAAAAGCGACGCGAGAGATCGCGCGATTGTTACAATTTTCTTTATTTTTTATTTACGCACATTTTTTGTACATCTACAGTTGTGCCGTACGATCGTAAGTACGGGACGTTCGTAAGCCGCTTAACGCAGCATCCGTTTAGTTCTCATTTTTCCCTTTTCTGTTCAAGTCCGTGATCAAGAAGAAAAAGACGCACATGGACAAGGCGCTGAAACATTTCGACGAGTTCTACGGCAACGTCTACGGAAAGTCGTGGGAAAACATAAGAGCCGCGCTGCTGGCGGAGGAGCACAAGTATATGGCTGTGGTGAACAGCTTCAGCGACATAGACAGGATAAAGGCAGAGCTAGAGGTATATCCGCGTGACGAGGGTATTGCGAACTCACCTGACACCTGGTCTTCCTTCTAGTCCCAAGGTGCCATGAATCTAAGGACAATTTACGAAACCTACAAGGAACATCTTGACGCAAAGCCACACAAGTCCAAGGAGAACAGGAAAGGGAAGAGGCAAGGAACGGGCCGAACGGAGTCTGTGATTTCTAACACTGGGATGTCGGTGGTGCAGTCGCATTATCCTACGGATTACACGTCGCCTGTGTCTCTAAGCACGGATGAAGACGACCAAGACTTGGCGGTGGAGGATCAGGCGTTGCAACCCGTGAAATTGAAACCCATCGAATCGAATTTGAATGAGATTGCTTTGGATGAAAATCGAATCGTGCATCCCAACACCAGCTTGAGCGGATTATACGAGTTTGTACCAGCCACGAAGATTAAAGGTGACCGGTACCGCAGGAATTATGAAGATCAAAGTGCCAAGCGCAGAAGCAATCGTCGCTGTAATTTAATGCGCGCTGACATTACTTTTCAGGCATGGACGATTGGGTGCTGGAGTCGCAACACTACGGCTATTACAAAGAGGGCTTGGAGTTTTCAGTGAACGTTGAGAGCGAGGTGATGCTAACGTTTCCGCAGTTCCTCAACATTTATACGTTTGAGAAGGACAACAACAGCAAATTTCCATCGCCAAAGAAAGGCTCAACTGGCGTCTTAGGTTGGTTGACTTTAACTGGGATCTACAATTCCGTTGGTTCGATTGGCGGGCGTTGACGATTCTGTCGTACAGATTATTATCTTCTGGATGGCGCCTCCGTGTTGCCGGTGCTGGCCTTGGACATGCAACCTGGCGACGTTGTGCTGGACATGTGCGCGGCACCAGGTGGAAAGACCCTGAGCATTCTTCAAACGCTCATGCCACATACACTGGTTGCTAATGACATCCAAAAGTCCCGAGTGAATAGGATCCACAAAATCATAGATGAATACGTAGCTGGCATCGGCCAGTGGGAAGACAGATTGTTTGTGACAGAGCGAGATGCAAGATTTATCGACGACAAAGATATGTTTAACAAGGTAAATGTACGACAGGCGGAAAATGTATGATTTGTTTTTCTCAGAAATTCTCACAGCAATTGTTTCTTCGTAGATACTGGTGGATGTACCGTGCACCACGGACAGGCACGTTTTGCATTCGGAAGAGAACAATATCTTCAAGTCGCAGAGGGTGCGGGAGAGATTGAAAATACCAGAGTTGCAAGCGGCCATTTTAACGTGCGCACGAAATTCGATGCTCTATCATTATAAATGCGTCTCGTTCGCCTTCTCTATTAGATAATTGTCTGTTACAGCAATGCACTGAAGATAATATCGGTAGGCGGCACGGTGGTGTATTCTACCTGCTCCCTCAGTCCTATCCAAAACGACGGCGTCGTCGGCATGGCGCTGAAAAAAGCCTGGGAGGAGACCAATTCTATTATGATTGTGAAGTAAGTATTTTTCGTATATTGGACAATAAATTGTTGTTTAACGCCGTTTTTAATTAACGACGTTCTTTGGTGAAACAGAGATATGAGCAAAGCGCTGAATCCATTGAGATGCCTCTACAGATTCGGCAATTTTGGATTAAAATACGGCCACATCGCCATTCCTGCGCTCAGCAATAATTGGGGCCCCATGTACTTCTGTAAAATAGTACGAACGCGGTAATACTAGGTAAGTGTGCGTGCAAATCATCTAAGATCTATAGATAATGCAGACTTTATTTACTCATTGTATAACAAATGAAAATATGTGCAAAATGAATATGCATCTTGTATATAGCAAACTCCTTTTTATAATCTTTATGCAACTGTTTGTAAAACTGTAAAACGTTAGTAAACTCTTCCCACCGCGCTGGGAATATAAGAAATGCGCAGAATATTAAATACGTTCAAAATGGTTTAGCGTAAAACGTGAATAATTAGGCCAGGATAGGATTTTTGTTTATTTTGTATTGTTCCGTCTTAAAGGTAGCATCTGGTTATTTGCTTCCTCGTCGGGTGTTTCGATTTGGTTCCACGGTTGTTCGTTGCCACTTCCAAAGATAGTGTAAACCAATATCTCGATTATATATAGGATGATCATTACCAAGAATACCATCCTCCACGCCTCCATGGTTTGCTGTAAATAATTTTAAAAAAATCAAAATGAAGATACGCCGATCTAATCGGCGAAGTGGAGAAAAGTTGATTTAATAAAGGACTATTTATTTCCTTGGAAATAACTCGGCCCAACTATCCTCCTTCCGATCTACGACCTTAGAAACCTTTTTGCCTTGTTACGTACGTTTTCGCGAGTCATTTGCCCCACGAATATCGGCACGAGGAAGCCGGGTATGGTGGCGAAAAAATTTGTTACCGCTACCAGGCTACCGGCAAAGTTCGGCGCGATGTCTATGTGGTTTGCCAAGAAACCAGAGTACATTCCCCCGATGCAAGTCACTGCGATTGTCATCAGCACGACTGCTCTCGTGCGATCGCACCCGATATGCGACACCTGTATTAAACACACCATAGGCACGAGCGACGCTGCAACAGTTTTAAAATTGTTGGAAAGGTGTATTGGAAAACAATGAAAATAGCTGTATAAGATATTAAAAAGTCCATGTTACCACGTTGTCCACACCTAGTGCAAATATCTTGATTGCTTCAAGATGGACTTTTTTGAAAATTTAATTTTCAGTATTAGAAGAAAAACGTACCAAAGAGAGTACCAATTTTTCGGGATATTGTCACTGTGATCAGACGTTTCTCCTGCAGGATGGCTAATACTTTGCTGAGAATCAAGGTGAAGAGCCACATGCATAAAAATGGGATGGACGACAAACCTGCATTCTGTTGCACGAGCAAATTAACTTATTGTTAGAAATGCGTTAAATTGTACGCGTTATGACAAATTTTAGAACGTACCGAGCTCATGTCGAACTTCAGGATCTGATTCATGAAGGTGGGCAGTTCTATGAGCAACATATACCAGCCGAAATTACTGCAGTAATGAGCTATCAAGATCGCTATGAACGGTTTCGAACGAAACACTTGCGCCCATGGAACCTGCCATAAAAAATGGATGAATAAAACTGAAGAATTTCTTTTAATACAACTAATGTTCAATGTACCCCTTTGGGAATCTTCTTGTGCCCCCCCAAAGACATGAGGATGTAGTGCCTCTCTTCTTGAGTGATGAATCTCGTCTGTTCTTCCGGGGAATCCGCTATCAGTAGCCACCAAAGAGTGCACCAAATCAGACAAAGCAGCCCTTCAATATAGAAGATGGAGTCCCAACCGAGATTTGCGGCCAACAAGCCACTTAATAAGATGGAAATCACGGTGCCGAGTGCCGTTCCTAAAAATTCCTCGACTTAATTTTTTTCTGACAGTAAAATTTACAATGAATTCGAAACGTGCCAATGTATATCCAATGTATACATTGTGGTTCTTTATTAGAATCTTATCGAGGAAGGAGCCCAGCTATCATTACAATTTTCGCCTTGTAACTACAGAGCTCGAAAAAAAAATCGCGACTCGAAAGATTCTGGGATGTATGGGTGGAACTTTGCAAGGGTAAATTTTTGTCTTACCTGCGTACACGATCGAGGCGATGACGTGTCTTTCATTCGGCGGCGCCCACTTTGCGATCATTACGTGCATAGCGGGGAACGATACACCCTGTAATTCAAGTGCTCAAAGTTACAATCGTATGGGAATATCACGTCCGTCGATATACCAAAGTCGTTTACTGACACCACCGAGGCCCTGAAGAAATCTCATAGCTATGAAGAGCCAGTAGTGAATACGCGCAGCGATGGGCGTCAGTATCGATGCCGCGACATTCAACAGGACCGATCCGTTCATCAGCCACTTAGCTGACCAGAGTTCGGCCAGTCTTCCACCCGGCAGCATGGACACCATGTAGCCCCAGAAATAGGAAGATAGAATGAGACCCTGTGTAAGTTCGTCCCATACGAACGGACCGTCCTGAAAAGTAAAACAGTTAACAAATTTCTTCTTTATCCTCTTTGTTTAATTGAAACTTTAAAATTTTTTTGCTGGAGCTACAATATATAAGCAAGAATTGCGTGCGCATGTGGATCTATTTCTCATACAAGATATCGTACCTCGCTTTCGATTGTGTGTGCCGTGACGTTTGAGGTGTCATCAAACTGGCAAATGCCTGTGCTCGTTAGCGTGGCATTGTCAGTTTCTGAATCGTTCGACGTGGATAATTCGGTGTGGGATTTAATAGCTGTATGGTTCACCATAGCGACAATAGCCACACTGGCGTTAACTTTGAAGCCATAGAGAATGGCGAGGCCGATAGAACCCATGACGGCCATAAAGTATCGAAACCGAAACCGCGTTCCGTTTTCTTCTATGAAGATAAGAAGTAAGTAATATGATCAGATGTTTGTTTGGTATAAGATTGTTGGGAGACAATTATCTTTATTTCGCAATTTCTTAATTTTATTGTTACATGATTTGCTGAAACTAAGTTTCAGATTTTTAATTTCTAATTGCCTGTGACGCGGAAATTAAATGGCATTTGGTAATTTGACTTATTTTTCTTCTGTTTTATCGCGCAAGTAGTGCCCTTCAATCGTGATGACGTGCTGATTGTCATCACAGCAATTATACTTTATGAATCACATTTAAAGTTTCTTGCCCTTCCACGAATACCTGATGCGTTGTCCATGGCAACCTGATTTGTCGCCCACCTAAAGTAATCTAATTAATTCTCTCCCTTCGCAAATGTCACGACGGAACTGCAATTGGTTGAGCCAATGTATTTTTATGCGAACGAAAATTGTTCTCGGTGAATGGACGAGAATTTTATAAATTGAAAAAATTTTCTATTCGCGGACGGAAAGTTGTATGATTTTCCAAAATGTATTTCCTGTGTTCGCTTGACGCGAAATCGATTTGGTATGTTCGACGGCATATTGAAGAGATTATTTTAAGAACGAGAACGTGTTTGCGACGAAGTCTGATATGCGGACTACGCTGCTTTGAATGTAATACCATTATGATGCATTTTTGAATTTCTACGCGATAATCGCAATGTTCAATATTTCTTCGTGCAATTGACTTGATTTTATTTAAATTTAGTCGTAATCTAAAAATCGTTGCGCTTCCAAGATTTAATGATGAGCACGTGAAACGATAAGCACCTGTCGGCACTTGCACAGCGTTGCGTCATCATAATGCGAAACGCACACATATGTCGTGGATCGGTTGAAAGTCCATGCAGAAATTGCAATTTTATTCGAGAAAATTAACTAAAACTCCCGGTCCTTACGAAAATCGAACTGGAGTAGAGGACGCGTCAAGGTCACAAAGGGGCTTTAAAATTAAAGTTATCTACAATCTTTGCGGAAAAGATTCAATAATGTAATTTTTATACACACGATGTAGAGTTTCAGATATATAATTTAGGAAATGCGAATGAAAGTTTTAGTAAACACTAATAATGTACAAGATTTATACCTCTCCTGAGAGATTTCTTCATTCTTTCTCTTCTAACATTTTATAATTCCAAATTATATTTGCAGATGAAAAATCTTAATTTTCCGAACACCGGACAAGAGGATCGTCACTTACCGTTGGCATTATTTTCCACGGCCATTGTGTGATGGAAATGCTATTATTTCGATGGTGTCTTTTAATATCCGGGAGATTCCGACAACAGTGCGTCACGAAAATAATTGATCACCCTTCTTTACTATACAATTTTGTACCGTCGTCAAATTTTTCTCTCTCGATTCGACCTATTTTAGTGACCACCCGATTGCCTCTGGCTCGTCACGGGAGCAGCGTGGCACTGACGTAAAGCGACATGGGAAAGCCGAGAAATTCTTGGAGTGGCTCCGGAGGGATGCGAAGCGCGCGCGCCTCTTCTATAAACGCCCGCCGCACGCACGCGTGTGCGTGCGTGTATGAGGGGAGGAGTCGCACGAAAGAGAACAGGCCGATGCTTCGTATTCTCAATCCCAGTCATTGACACTGGTGGCCGGCGTGAAAAAAAACAAAGGGTAGAAACGGCCGTATCGCTCGCGATCGCCTCTGCATCTCGCGGGCGAGGAAAGACGTTATAGGGAATACTTTTTCATCTTTACTTTTTGAATTGTTATTGTGGCCGTTTTCATTGCACAGTGCAGTTTTTTAACTATTTCTACCAGTGTCGCAACGAGAAATTGTGGCAAATGTCTGATTTTGTTCCTTCAAATGAAATTATAAAAGTTTTTAGATATTAACATCTCGGGTGGGTACAATGAAAATACATTCAGATGTTGCATCCTACGTGTCTGTTTAAGGTTTAGAATGAAAATATCAAACTTTATTGCTGCGTGGAGCGTTGCATTTTGCTTTTAAACTAAACTATACGCTAATAATAATTTAGTATTCGTTTATTAACGATTATTACATTTGTACGTTTATAATTGCTCATTTGTACTCATGAGGTCAGTCGAGTAAAGTCGAAACATTTACACACTCAACATTAAAGTATTGCAATTCTTATCGAATAAACACTTAAATTAATACTAGTAGCTTTCGACTTTTAATGTGCTTACCCATACATTGCAATATTGTTGCAATTATCTGTGCTAAAAATATACCCATACAGCACCAAAGCTTTCAGAAACATTGCAACAATGTTTTCTGAAATGTTTCTGAAAGCTTTGGTGCTGTATGGGTATATTTTTTAGCACAGATAATTGCAACAATATTGCACCACCGTTACAACGTTACAAATGTATGACAACATTACAAAACATTACAGACGTATATTGCCACAAAATGTCAGCACTTGGTTTTGGACACACCATGAAGAGGATCCCCTAAAACACACACACCCGCGCACACACGATACGCGTCAGCAAATGAAACTCATTACATCGAACAAAAAATACATTTTGTCAACGTTACTACGTAAACGTTTAAGACAGTAAAAGACAGTACAGGACTAACCATACGGTGCGTGTAATGTAGATAGTAGAACAACCCTTTCATGGTCTCACTGAAAATGGCTTCAACTTGTCAGCCGCTTTCACCAACAATGAACGTAGATATGTGATTCAGCATTACGCGCCGTTCGCCTGTATATTCTGCCTTTCGTTACTATACAGATATTCACTGACGTTAAGACAAGTTAAACCTATTTTTCATGAGATTGTGTCTAGACAGTTGATTCCGCTATATTACGCGCACGTATTCACCGATTTTCTCCATTTAATATCTTAAAGAAGTCTCTCTTCCCGTATTGTGCATGCAGTCTCTGTGGCCGGTATAGGATATGTAAAGGTCCGTCTTTTCGTTTTCTTAACGGGTGCTTTGAACTGGTTCCATGGTTGCTCTTTGCCGCTGCCACACGTAGTGTAAACGACAATCTCGATTACATATAGAATTATCATTACGAGACATCCCATCCTCCATTCAATTGTGTGTGTGTCTTGCTATAAATAATAAAAGGAAATCAAGATTTCCTACACCGATTTAATCAGCGTTATCAGCAAAGTAAAGAAAAGATGACGTAATAAATGAGTATTTGTGACTTGGAAATAATTTGGTTCACGTGTCCTCCTTCGAAATTGCGACTTTGGAAATCTCTTTACCTTGTTACGTGTCGACCTCGCTACGAAAGCCAAAAGTTGGAATAATATCACCACAACACCTAAGGCGACGAAATTTGTGATCGCTAGCAGACTACCCGCAAGTTTCGGCGCGATGTCTATGTGGTTTGCGTAGCAACCGGAAAATATTCCGCCCATGCAAATCATCATGATTGTCATAAGCATGAATTTTCCCGTGTAATCGGATCTATTCCCTGGTAAAAAGTTTTCTCAGAATTTTCATACGAATTGAGACACTTTGAAGAAATACTAAGAAAGTGCTACTTCTATTTCTTTTGTTAGAATTTTTCATATATTCTGAATATTCTCTGTTTCTAAAATTTCTTACTCTATAACTTGTGACAAAATATCTTTGAAATCTTATAAAATTTGTCTGAAATTTTAAACGTTTGAAATTATAGAATGAGAATTTTAGAAATTTCAGAATTTATATATATGAAAAATTCGAGAAAGAATATAAACTTTCTCGGTACTTCCGAAAAGTGTACCAATTTGTGTAAAAACTCTGAATACTTTGTGAAAAAATTATAAAAAATTATGAAGACTTCTGAGGTAAAAATTTCACCAGTTCTGATGGTCAACAGTAGTAAACCCAACGTGGGGACGAGCGATGCTGCAACAGTTTTGAAATTATTAAATTTGCTGGAAAGGTACATTGACAAAAGCAATGAAAGAGCTGTGTAATAGTACAATTATACCAAAGAATTCGTGTCTCTATGTTGTCTACATGTAGTGCAAATATTTTGACTAATTCAAGATGGATCTTTTTTGAAAATCTAATTTACAGTAACAAACGTACCAAAGAGAATGCTGATTTTTCTAGATCTTGTTACTGTGATCACATCTTTCTCCTGCCATGTGGCTAATACTCTGCTAAGAATTATGGCGAAGACCCACGTGCCAATACACGGGATACTAAATATTAGTAACTCTGTAGCCTGACGCAAGACCAAATTAAATTATTAATACGCTGTATGCATTATGACGAATATTAGGCCTTACCGAGATCGTGTTATGCTTAGAAATACAAGGCAGAAGGCTATGCAGTGTGTTGTGTACCATAATATAGCTGAAGTAACTGCAAATATGAGCGATCACGATTGCCATGAACGGGCTAGAACAAAATATCTGCCACCATGGAACCTGGAATAAAAATTGGATGGATAAGAGGTATGAAGAATTTTTTTAATACACTCTTCAAATTCTTAATGTACCCTCTTAAAAAAATTTCCCATGTGTTCTTTCAAAGATGTGACGATATACTCCCTTTCCTCCTCAGAGATATATTTTGTCTGTTCGGTCGGGGAATCCGTTATCCACTTGTACCAAAGAATAGACCAAATAAAGCAAAGCGTAGCTTGAAAACAGAACAAGTAGTGCGATGCGGCCGGAGAGTCGTCCGGCGTGCCCAGCCAGACATAGATCAACTCAGTTAGCATCACGGAAGTCGCTATGATGAATCCCGCTCCTAAAAATTCCTCGAATTAAGCTTTCTCTGACAGTCATTTTTATGCACTCGAAATGTCTCCACGTATGTATCTATTTAAATTAACGTGTACGTTACAAATTATAGTTTCTTATTAGAATCTTATCGAGGAAGGAGCTCAACTGTACCATTACTTTCGCCCTGTAATTACAGACCTCGAAAGAGTCACGATTCGAAAATTCTGGAATGTATTGGTAGAACTTCGTAAAAGGTATAAACGTTTTCCGTAAGTTTTTTTCTCACCTGCGTACACGATCGAAGCGATGACGTGTCTCTCATTCGGCGGCGCCCACTTTGAAATTATCATGTGCATAGCGGGCAACGCTACACTCTGTAATTTAAGCGCTCAAAGTTACAATCATATTGGAATATCGTATCCGTCGATATTCCCGGCATAAACAAGTCATTTACTAACATCAGCGATCCCCTGAAGTAATCGAACGGCTACGAGGAGCCAGGTATGAATATGCGCAGCGATGGGCGACAGTGCCAATGCACCGACATTCACTATGATCGATATCTCCATCAAAATCTTAGGTGACTTCAGTTCCGCCAATCTACCCCCCGGTATTATTGATGTCATGTAGCCCCAGAAATAAGGATGTGCAATTAAATTCTGAGGAAGTATAAGAAAAAGCTTCATTATGGCGGCGAACAGACGTTTCTGTAAAGATGCAGTAATACAATTTACTGGGCTCTTCTTTTCTAAGTTAAAACTCTAAGGTATGTTTGGTGGAGTCAATATGAGAATTGCATGCGCGTGAATTTTTCTTTCTCTCGCGCAAGATATCGTACTCCATGTTTGTACCTCGCATTCCATGTTTGTGGTTGAAGCATCCAACTTATAAATGGTCGCGTTACCATTTAAATCGTATTTGTAGAATGGCTTCCACATTATTTCTGTTGACACTTGATCATTAGCACATGTGTGGTCCACCGTCTTTAAGGTAATAACGGAATTGATTTTAGTGAAAAAGAGTAAAGAGAGACCGCATGACCCCATTAAGGCCACGAAATATCGATATTTGTTGCAGCCACCAAAGTTAAAATATAAAATGCGTTGTGCAATCCTACGGTGTTGCAGAATGTCCTGCTGCCTCGTTTCGGCAGCGAAACCTTATTTAAAAAATAGATGAGCGATAAATAATGTGGTCAGAGGTTTGTTTTTGTGTAAGACTGGTGGAAGACAATTGTCTTTATCGCAATTATTTGCGATAAAGACAACTCATTACGTTTTGTTACGTCATTAAGGTGCCATGAAGACGTCATTTAATGTCACGCTGCTGTTTGGCACTTTCCAATGTATATCGCATTGAAGCATAAATAAAATATTGTAAGGGTAATTTGTAATATATGACGATATAAATTATCTTTGAGAATGACTACAAAAACGTACTATTAAACAATCATTGGAGAGATTATACAGCCTGTGACCATATTTTCCGTAGGGCCATTATACCCGGATTTACCATAATCTAATTCCTTGCAATATTACAGTAATATTATGGTGATATATGTATTACAGTAATGTTTCCGATATGTTTTATTGTAATATTACATTGGGAATATTACGTGCTATGTGGAGGATATGTCCAATGAAAAATACGATCGGTTTTTCGATCAAGTTTCACCAATAACTGCATTTCATCGGATATGCATACATATAATTTAATCGAACAAGTTAATCGGAAAAATTAACAGCTGAAAACATTATTTTTAATTGGTTTATCCAATGGAAACTTTTCTCAGTGCACATGTCGCGAATCGGCTGGAAGCCAATTCAGAAACTTCACTTCTATTCGAGGAAGGAAACCCCGCACGCTCGGAAACATCATCTGAAAACACTTCCTCTCTTTCTGTCCCGTTGTCTTCTCTCGTTCGCTCGAACGCAAAAGAGGGGAGATAGAGCCGCGTGACGTTTCCGAACGTATCTAGCAAAATTAGCTGAAACTCCAGGTACACTGCACGCCAGTAATTCGTTCCATTCCCCTAGCGAATTTATATAGGACGTTACGTATCCTATATAAATTTGATGGAGGAATGGAATGACTTAGTGACGAGCAGTGTATCTGGAGAATATCGATCGGAGTATATATATATATATAGACTAGATGTCAATTTCAAGGGTCCTTAAAATGAAAGTTATCTTATATATTCTTTGAAAAAATTTATTGATGCAATTTTTATACGTACGATTTAAGTAGGGTTCAAGATGCTGGGAAATACGATTGAAACTTTTAGTAAACACTATCACTGAGAAAAAATTCCATCGGACAAACCAATTAAATAGTGTTTCCGATGGTTAATTTGTCCGATTACGTTTTCCCATTAAATTATGGACACATTCGATGAAATTTGATCGAAAAACCGATCATATTTTTCATAGAATATACAATTTAATCTGATTTATTTTGTTACTATGTAATTGGATTATCCGATTATATTTAATCGGACATTGTTCTCAGTTTAATAATGTAAAATATTCATAATCTCTCCTGAATGATTTCTTCATTTTTTTTCCTCTTAACGTTTCATAATTCCAAATGACATCTTCGTAGAATTAAAATTTTAACTTTCCGAACAACGGACAGGAGAATCGTCACTTACCATTGGCATCATTTTCCACGGCCATTGTTTCGATGGAAATGTGTCTTCGAATGGAAACGTTCTACTATCAGAAGAATCCCGACGACAGTGTATCACGAAAATAATTGATCGCGCTTCTCTAATATTCAATTTTATACGTCGTAAAATGAATTTTTTCTCTCTCTCAAATAGACCTGCTCCGATGACCATTCGATCGCTACCGGCTCATCACAGGAGCAGCATGCTACTGACGTAAAGCGACCGTGAAAGACCGAAAAACCCTGGGAGCAAGTCTGGAGGGATGCGGAGCGTGTCCCTCTTCTGTAAACGCTACCCTCACGCGTGTGCGTGCGCGTTTGAGGAGGAGAATCACACGAAAAGGGAAGGCCCAGGCCTCGTATTCTTGATGACAGTCACATGGGTGGCCCTTATTGATTTTCTTAAGAAGATGAATACAAGAAGCAAACGAAGAAAGAAGATATTAACAGCTGACATGAAAAAGAGTAACGGATAGAATTAGTTTTATCAACCGCGGTTGCCTCAGCATCTGGCGAGCAAGGAATAGCGTCGATTAAAAATTGTCTCGTTGCTAATCGACAAAATCGGTTATATAATATTTTTGTATAATATTCTTTGAAATCATTTAATTATACAATTTTTATACGCACGATCTGAGTACGAGTTCAAGATATTGGGAAGTACGATTAAAAGTTTTAGTGGAAACTGATAATGTAAAATATTTATATCTCTCCTGAATGATTTCATTGTTTTTTTCCTCTCAACGTGTCATAATTCCAAAAATTACATATTTGTAGAATTAAAATCTTAATTTTCCGAACAACGGATCGAACAATCGGCGCGTACCTTTGGTATTATCTTCCACGGTCATTGTGTCGATAGAAACGTGTCTTTGAATGGAAATGTGCTTTCCAATATCCGAAGAATCCTGCTGACCGTGCATCACGAAAATATTGCAATTGATAACGCTTCTCCAATATTCTATTTTACGTCGTAAAGTTCGTTTTTCCTCCCAAGTGGACCTATTCCAGTGGCCATTCATTTACTTCTGGCTCGTCGCAGGAGCAACGTTCCACTGATCTGTAAATCGATTCGGGGCAGCGACCGAGGAAGCCTTGAAATGGCTCCGGCAAAATGCGGACCATGCGCACAGTTTGTAAACGCCACCCTCATGCGTGTGCGTGCGCGTATAAGGGAAAAAGTCGCACAATAAAGAGCCCAATATCTTGTACTCTCGATCCTGCTCATTGACATTGGCGCCCCAGCCATATTAATATACTTCTCGAGAAAATAGTTGCCGTCGAAGAAAGAAGAAGCGATCGTATTAACTGCGATCGCTTCCGCATCTCGCGAGCGAGGGACAGCGTCGATTAAAAATCGTTTCTTTGTCAATGGAATTGACACTCACAGCACTCACTCGCGAAAATCGATCGCGCGAAATTTCGGACACTCCCGTACGCGATGTAAAATACCGTGAAAAGCAGTAAGCGACGTTCTTCACTTCCTGCCCGTTCGAATTGGAAAGAACGACAGAGCGAATTACGCCGTGAACGCCGAAGTCGCACAATTAATTTCTCTCTCCGAAAATGGAACAGATTACACGAAATCGATAGATAGTTAAAAGCGCGGTGCGTAAACGAGATATAACCGCGACAAAGTATCACGGTTTACATTCATGTTTTAGATGAGTTGGTC